TCGTTGGAAAAACCAAATCCCAGGTCACAAACGCTTGCAAAGCAGGCAGGGCTGAGGGGAAAGGCAGAACATTAGCCTGTGCGGTTTGGATTTTCCCTTGTTATGAGCTGAGGATAGGACTCAGGTGGGAGAGGACAGGACTCAGCATGAAGCCCTGGCTTCAACTCATGATTGAGGTTGTCACTGGAACAGTGACATGGAACAGAGGGATGGACGAAACAGAGGGGAAAACCTGAGGATGGACCATTCAGTACATGCATGCTGAGGCCATCCAGATGTGCCCCTCAGATCTTCCTCCAGAAAAGAACTTGCTCTCTACTTACGAGGAATGTTAATGCACAGGCTCTGGCTGTCAATCTTCCCAGCTGTCATTATCCAGGAGCAGCTGAGCCACTCCCACGGGACACTGGGTTCCTCCTATGAGCTCCCATCAGCTGGCTGAGATGGAGCCAGGCATGCCCCACTTCTGTGTGCTCCCTGCCCATTTGGTCTCATGTGCATTGCTCTTCTAGAACACTCTAAAGCCTGGCAGATGTAGGGAAATGCAGCCTGCAGTAAGTGGAGAGACCACACCGGGGTGTAGTGCATTCCTGATGAGCTCCTGGCCTGGTCCCAGAGAGCAGCACCTAGCCCTAATCCTTCCTTTGTTTAACCACATTTTTTGTTTCTCTTACCGCCCTATGTGAATTTTGTCTGAGAGTCAAGGACCAAAGAGTCCCCCAAGGATCAAAGGCCTACGCAGAACTTGGTTCAGGAAACCTGAAAAACCATGGCACCTGATAAATCAAGTAATTTGTACTTGGCATTTGGTCTCTGGGAGTTCCTTTTAGGTTGCTTTGAAGGTACAGAAATTAACTGGCTAAACTGTAAATAGAGTAAATAAAAATGCCCTAGGTGAAGGGATAGGGCTCCCGTACTTTGAGGCTGGACCCCCCTGCAGCCATGAAAGGCTAGATTCCTTCTTAAGATGCCTCTGAGTCTTCTTTCCACGGAGCTGCGTGAACCCACACACCACACTGTGACACACAGCCACACTGGGATGTTGCTCAGTGGTTCAGTGCTGTGCTCCATAAGTGTGCCTGCGCTTGTGGAGCAAGAAGAGGATGTCCAATCCCCCAGAACTCGAGTTACAGCTGGTTGTGAGCTGCCATGTGGGTGCTGGGAATTAAACCCTGGTCCTAACCAACTGATCCATCTCTTCAGCCCTTTAACTGCTTCATTAGTACATAATCTGTAGAGAAAAATTAATGTGACAGAGCATTTAAAACATTTGTTACCCTGTGATCCCAGGACCAGTTTGCCTTTTACACAAGAGTATCAGTTCCCTAAACCATCCCCCTTCCCCCCCTCTGTGTGTGTGTGTGTGTGTGTGTGTGTGTGTGTGTGTGTTCCCATAGAGGCCAAAGGTGTCAGATCCCCCGGAGCTGGCTGGCCTTAGAGGCAGTTGTGAGCTGCTGGGCATGGATACTGGGCATTTGCAACTGCAGAGCCGTCTCTCCAGCCCTGCTTTTCCTTTCTTAAAAACCTCCATTTTTACTCTTCTTCTGTGTGCCCCTGGTAAAATCTTGAGACATAAGGACCTGGGAAGTTCAGTGGGTGCCCCTGGGTCTCGGGGCCACACTTCTAAAGCTGGGGAGTCACGATGGGCGTGAGCCAGGCCATTCACCTGTCTCTTCCCTGGACTCCTTTCCACCTGGGCCGCTTAAGGACCCAAGGCTGCTGGGTCCCCAGAGTACTACCACATCTGCAGGTTTCCCCAGGCCCTCTGCACTCGTCTGCACACCCCAACATTCCTCACACCTTCCCAGAATCACAGCGGGAGACAGGAACTCCATCAGTGTTGTCACCTACAGGCTCATAATGCTCCTCCCTTCTAGTTAGTTCGGATCCCCACTTTTCTGTCAAAATGCCTCTTTACTTCCCTAACTGTTCTCAGTTCCTCCCTATTCATCTAGCATAGACAGCCTATCCCAAGAGTATGGAGATAATTCTCCAGAAAAACACACGGCCTTGAACATTGGATACAAAGAAAACAGCCTCTCCCACCCGCACTTTTAACCTGATGATCCAAAACAAAACACAAAGCCCTTCAGATAAGAAAGCTTCTTCTCTGAATCTAGCCGACGAATTCTTGAGGTGTTGTAAATTTTAATTTATGGTGTGTGTGCCCGAGCGGACCATGTGCCTGCAATACCCAAGGACACCAGGAGGGGGAGAAAGATCCCCTGGAACTGTTGTCAGCCGCCAAATATGGGTGCTGGGAACCGAACCCAGTTCTCTGAAAAGAGCAGCAAGTGCTCTTAACTACTGAGACATCTCTCCAGGCCCAGGTTTGTTTGTTTGTTTATTATGCATTTTTTCAAAAGCTTCTTAGGCAAGAAATTCCTTTTAACTAAGGTAAAAGAAATAACTTTAGAGGCGCTCATGGCAGGGACTGTTCCTGGGAGCAACAACGTTTGCAATTGTTTTAAACTCCAGTCACAGAAGAGGAAGCGCAGCAGAGTTGGGGATTCAAGCCAGTGTCTGGGATCTCCTGTGCCTACACTCTGGCATGGCCAAGGCTGTGTGGGTTTGGGAGACAGGAAGGAAGGAAGGACACTCTAACCCAATCGGTCTCTTGGAAGACTGAGACTAGATGAAAGGCACACCTCTCTCCACTCCAGAGACCCTGGTAATTATTTTTTACTTACTATCTCTTGAACTACAAAGTAAGGTCAGCTAGGCATGGTGGCACACCCCTTTAGTTCCAGCAATCGGGGTAGGGGGTGCGTTGTTGGGGGGGGGGCAGAGGCAGGCAGATCTCTGTGAGTTCGAGGACAGCCTGGTCAACAGAGTGAGTTCCAGGACAGCCAGGGCTACATAGAGAAACCCTGTCTCGAAAAACAAGCAAACGCAGGTTCTCTTTCATTGACTCCCTAAGAGTTGAGCTATAAGAAGCAACTCCTCCTCCTTGCCTCTACCATCCGCCGGGCAGCCTGAAGCAGCAGCCATGAGTGAGTGCATCTCCATCCATGTTGGCCAGGCTGATGTCCAGATCGGCAATGCCTGCTGGGAACTCTACTACCTGGAATGTGGCATCCAGTCTCACAGCCAGATGCCGAGTGACAAGACCATTGGGGGAGGTGATGACTCATATCACACCTTTAGAGACAGGCACTGGTGAGCATGTGCCCCGGGCAGTGTTCGTAGACCTGGATCCCACAGTTACTGATGAAGTTTACACTGCTACCTACTGCCACCTCCTCCACCCTGAGCAGCTCATCACAGGTAACTATGCTCATCCTGGTCACTACACCATTGACAAGGAGACCATCGGCCTTGTCTTGGACTGAATTCACAAACTGACCTCTGCATAGGTCTTTGGGGCTTCTTGGTTTTCCACAGCTTTGCCGGGGTGGGGAGTGGGGGGTGGGAGATAGGAGATGTGTAGGGGTTGTGGGGGGAGGGGGCGGTCACGACTGGCTCTGGGTTCACCTCCCTGCTGATGGAGCGGCTCTCTGTTGATTACGGAAAGAAGTTCAAGCTGGAGTTCTCCATCTACTCAGCTCCCCCCTGACCCCCTCCTGCCAGGTTTCCACCACTGTGGTTGAACCCTACAATTCTATCCTTGACACCCACACCACTTTGGAGGACTCTGATTGTGCCTTCATGGTAGACAATGAGGCCATTTATGACATCTGTTGTAGAAACCTTGATATTGAGCACCCAACCTACACTAACCTAAATAGGTTGATAAGTCAAATTGTGTCTTCCATCATTGCTTCCCTCAGATTTGATGAAGCCCTAAATGTTGATCTGACAGAATTCTAGACCAACCTGTGCCCTACCCTTGCATCCAGATGGCCACATATGCCCCTGTCATCTCAGCCGAGAAAGTCTATCATGAGCAGCTTTCTGTAGCACACAGAGATCACCAATACCTGCTTGGAGCCAGCCAACTAGATGGTAGAATGTGACCCTCGCCCTGGTAAATACATAGCTTGCTGCTTGCTGTACCATGGTGATGTGGTTCCCAAAGATATCAATGCTGCCATTGCCACCAACAAAACCAAACGTACCATCCAGTTTGTGGACTGGAGCCCTACTGGCTTCAGGGTTGGCATTAATTACCAGCCTCCCACTGTGGTACCTGGTGGAGACCTGGCCAAGATCTAGAGAGCTATGTGCATGCTGAGCAACACCACAGCCATTGCTGAGGCCTGGGCTCACCTAGGTCACAAGTTTGATCTGATGCATGCCAAGCTTGCCTTTGTGCTTTGGTATGTGGGTGAGGGCATGGAGGAGGGGGAGTTTTCTGAGGCCTGTGAGGACATGGCTGCCCTAGAGAAGGATTATGAGGAAGTCAGTGTGGATTCTGTTGAAGGAGAGGATGAGGAAGAAGGAGAAGAATACCAAATTAAACTCACAAAGGTGCTGCCTTTACAGGGAAGTTTATTCTGTTCCAACATAGAAGGTTGTGGTCTGATCAGTTAAGTTGTAATGTGGCAATGTGTGTGTTCATACAGTTACTGAATTATGCTTTAAACATGGTTTGTCATAGACCCAAGCCATCCATTTCACTGATGGGTTTTTAAAAAAATATTCCGTCTTAAAAACAAACAAAAGAATGTTCCTGGGGAGGGGGGGGGAAGGGAAAAAGCAACCCACAGAGACCAGAAGAGGGCATCAGATCCCCTAGCACTGAAGTTACAGATGGTTGTGAGCCACCTAAATGAGCCAGTTTATTTAGGAGGGAAATCATCATTAAAATCTATGTATCTGTACCTAATGTTAAATTTCAGAGTTTGATGAAGTTTTTTATCCTAGGGTCTTGTAAATGTTGTTTTGTGTAAGCAACATTTTAAGGTTTTACGAAACATTCAATAGATCCAAAGGATCATTTTAGTAGATTTTACGAGGGTAAGAGTACCTCAGTTTATGAGTATGTATTTATCAAGGCTTTCAAAATACCCAAAAACCATGCGCGTTCACACATATGCATTTTTAAAGTACACGTGGTAATGGTGCTGGCTAGGTATTTGCCCTCCGTGAAAATTCGGATACTTTCTGTGTGCGATCTCTGCACTGGTACACGCACGGGGCCACCATCCGGACGAAGTAACAGCACCGGGAAATACTAGCGTTTCCGTGTGACGACTATTCCGCGATTGCTCTTTCCTCCAAGAAATGCTTATTTGTACAGTTAATAAAGCTGCCGCGCCTTTCCTGCTGGTTTATCAAGCCTCCTGCTGGTTTATCAAGCCGTTCGCTTGGGCGTAGCCCTCTCGCGCCCCCGCGTTTCTTACTAGGGGACAGCGGACTAAGAACCAGCGCTGGCACCCGGTGCCCGCCTGGTCTCCATCATCCCGGACCTGCAGCTCTGGGCCCGGTGCCCGCTTAGTCCCCATCGGTGCCCGCCTGGTCCCCGCCACCCGGACCTGCAGCCCTGGGCCCGGTGCCCGCTTGGTCCCCGTCATCCCGGACCTGCAGCCCTGGGCCCGGTGCCCGTCTGGTCCCCGTCATCCCGGACCCGCCGCCCTGGGCCCGGTGCCTGGTGCTCGCTTGATCTCCGTTATCCCGGACCGGTCGCCCTGGTCCCCATCGGTGCCCGCCTTGTCCCCATCGGTGCTCGCCTGGTCCCCGCCACCCGGACCTGCAGCCCTGGGCCCGGTGCCCGCTTGGTCCCCGTCATCCCGGACCAGCCGCCCTGGTCCCCATCGGTGCCCGCCTGGTCCCCGCCACCCGGACCTGCAGCCCTGGGCCCGGTGCCCGCTTAGTCTCCGTCATCCCGGACCGGCCGCCCTGGGCCCGGTGCTCGCCGGGTCCCGTCACCCCCGCCCGGCCGCCCCGGCCCTCCGCCTAGGCGGCCGCCATCTTACAGGGCGGGGCCCGCGGCCTCCCAGCCGCTGTCAGTCGGGTCCCCCGGCCCCACGGTCCCCGGGCGGCCCCCGGCTCCCGAGCATCCATCCCTCCGTCCCTCCTCGGCGTCCCCTCGCCCGCGAGGGTCCCCTCAACACTGTGTGTCCCGCGAGTCACCGCGAGAGACTGAGGAGGAAGAGCCCAATGTGTGTCGCCGAACGAGGGTCCCCGCGCGCGCGGCGGTTCGGGCTGGCGCGGCGGGATTCCGAGCTCCTCCCCTGCATCCGCGAGCCACAGCGCTCTACCCTGAACCTCTGAGCAGAGCCCGGGAGCGAGCCGGTGGAGCGAGGCCTTTAGCGATGCAGAGTCCCTAGCTCGCTGTGACCTCGTGGCGCAATGGTAGCGCGTCTGACTCCAGATCAGAAGGTTGCGTGTTCAAGTCACGTCGGGGTCAGGGTGGCCTTTTGCTTTTTTCCTTCGCCAACTACGGCCGAATAAAGTACAGGGAAGCTTTAAGAAGAAATTAGATGAGTTCCGGATTAGACCGTTCTTCTCACGCCATGGAAGGCAGTACTTCTTTTTCTCTTCCTTGAGACCGAACACCCGAATGCTCGGGAAAGCGATGACTCCCTATGACCGACAGGAGGCGCTGCAGCCGCAGCCGCAGCATCGAGGTGGGACCTTGGGGACGGTCCGCTGACTCAACCTCCAATGCCAAAGCCCTGCCTCGCCCCTCGGGCTCCGCCCATCCCCCCCATCAGGTTACCTAGGCCTGCGTGAGCTATCAATGCTGATGTAGATCTCTCCTTGTTTGCCTTGAACTTCGTTTTCTCAGCTCCCGACTCCAAACGGTTCTTGGTCTCGCGATGACCTCCTCAATGGTCATATCTTCAAATTCTGTGCCCGATCCTTAGCCCCGCAAGTCCGGTTACAACCATTAGACCTGGATGGTTTTTTTTAATAGCTTTGTTTTAAATCTCCTTCCCCACCCCCACCCCAAGATTGATTAAGAAAATAAAAGCCTGCTGCATCGAAATTATAAACATGAAGCTCAAATTGAGTATCTTTTATCTGAAATGCTTGGGGCCAGAACTGTTTCAGATTAAAAAAAAAAACAAAAACAAAAACAAAAACAAAAACTTTCGGAATGCGGGCTGTCTTAGGGTCACTATTGCTGTGATGAAACACCATGACCCAAATCAACTTGGGAAGGAAAAGGTTTATTTCACTCACAGTTCCATCTAATAGTTCATCACCAAAAGCTGTGAGTGGAGGAACCTGGGGGCAGGAGCTGATGCAGAGGCCATGGAGGGGTGCTGCTTACTGGCCTGCTTTCATGGCTTACTCAGCCTGCTTTCTTAGAGAACCCAGGACCACCAGCCCAGGGACAACCCCACCCACAACAGATCAGGCCTTCCCCCATCAATCATTAATTAAGAAATTGTCCTAAAGGCTTGCCTACAGCCTGATCTTATGGAGACAGTTTCTCAGTTGAAGCCTGAGATGACTCGGGCTTGTGTCAAGATGACATAAAACTAACCAGTACATCGGCATACGTGTAATTACATATCCTTGAAATGGGACTCAAATTCAAAGACAGAATTCACTTATATTTCCTATATATCTTGTGCCCAGTCGGAAGATAATCATTATGATATTCTTAGTGTTCTTGCATCTGATGTCCACCTGTCCTGTGAGGTCAAGGTGTAGAATTTTCCAGCTGACCTAGGTATCATGTCACTGGTCAAAAAGTTTTGGGCTTTGAAGCATTTTGGATTTCCAGTTTAGAAATAGTCAACCTGTAAATACACTTGTTACTGAAATATGTATCTGTTTTTAGAAATGTGAATGATGACTCTGTTGTGGTGCAGGACTATAATCCTAGATCTGGGGACGGTAAGGCAGGGAGCTGCAAGCTCAAGGCTAGCCTAGGCTACATATCAAGACTCTGTCTCAAAAAAAAAAAAAAAAAAAAGTAGTGGATGAGTGCATAAAATATACTGATATTGAAAGTATAAAATTTAATGTGAAGCTTCTCTGATCTATTCTGAACGCCAATTCTAATTGTTCATTGAGTTCTGTAGATGTTGATTCTGATTAATTTTGGTGTATGATGTTTTTATTTATCTGTGATTTTGTTCAAAATAATAAAGTTTATTGTAAAAAGGATTATACACATCAATTCTAGGACAGTGTATCACATCTGAAGAACGAGGAAGAAGAGACTGTGGTATGCTTAAGTGCTCTCTTTCTCATCAAAAGAATGTAAAAAATGACTTCTAGGGTTGGAGAGGTCACTCAGTAGTTAACAGCACTGGCTGCTCTTCCAGAGGACATTTCAAGTCCCAGCACCCACATGGCAGCTCACAATCGTCTGTAACTTTAGTTCTGATGGATCCAACATCCTCATGCAGACATATATGCAGGCAAAACACCAATGCACATAAAATAAAAATAAATAAATAGTTTTTGAAAAATAAGTAAAATAAAATATGGCTCTTGGATATGATTCACTCCACCTCTCTGGTACTGACAGGAGGCTGGCAGAGGTGGAGATGAATTTCCTCTGAATGAGATACCAGCCTCACATCATATTGGCTAGCTTTCTCATATATAAGGTCTCAGACAAGATTTATTCACAGTAACATTTAAAAGAAAAGATATTAAGGGGACTGAGGAGGTAGCTCAGCTGGTAGAGCGTTTGTGTAGCGTGCATGGCACCCTGGGTTCTATTCCCAGACGGGAAGAAACTGGGTGGGATAGATCACCAACACAAAGAGTGCACCGAAAAATTTAAAAGGAGAGAGAAAGTTTGAGAAAGCGTTGAGATAATGAATATAGAGTGAAAAAAAAATCTAAATCTAAATAGCTTCTCTGAGGAAGATAACAGAGAGCAGGGGAGGGGCAGTATTCAGAGATGGTGATTTGTCATTTTCAGACCTGACAGCAAGTGAGTTCCCACTTGAAGAGGTCAGTGTATTTTAAGCCTGATATAAGACACCCATCCCCACAAGTGGTTTGAATGAGAAATGTCTCCTACAGGCTCAGGTGTTTGGACACTTGGTCCCAGTTGGTGGCGCTGTTTGGGGAGATTTTAGAACCATTAGGAGGTAGTTCCTTGCTGGAAGAAGTATGTCCTTTGGGCTTTGAGGTTTTATGTTCTGGCCTCACTTCCTGTTTCTCCCTCCCTCTCTCTCTGTCTCTTAGACATTGATCTGTGTACCCTGCAGAGCTTGCAAATGTCATTGTCTCCTGGCAACTACAATTGTATTTGATCTTGGCAATGGCCACCATATTCTGTTTCTGATAAAGCTATAAAAAGTCTGATTGCCTTTGCAATAAACTTGTCTAAGCCTTAGTCTTGCTGTGGCCCCTCCAACCTGTGCCTGCTTCTAATTCCTTGACCAGCCATATCAGGTAACCTGGGCCTGGTAAGTGAGCACCCATGCTTACAGGAAGTGAAAATCTTAGCAGCGTGACATCTGTTCTGGTGATGACCTTCTGGATCCAACTCATCACTGTGGAAGTGCAGGTGAATGAGAAGAAGCCAGGGTGACTAGGGAGGGACCTGTCATGCTTATTGTTTATTGATTGACTGATTGGAGGCAGGTAAGGATGACTCTGAACTGTGTGAGTGAGTGAGTGTGTGTGTGTGTGTGTGTGTGTGTGTGTGTGTGTGTGTGTGTGTGTGTGTCTGTCCTCAAGAGTTATTCCTTGGGTTTATAATTTTTTTGTTACATTTTTACTTATTATTTTGTGCATCTGTTTCACACATCAGTGAATACTGAGGATGCACAGACAACATTCCAGGGCATACTTGGGCATGAATATATATTTTTTGAAATGGGGTCTTGTAGGAGCGAGTGTACCCCTGTATGAATGAATATTCATAATAGTCACAACATGAGCACAGCCACATCAAGGAGCCCAAAGCCCCTGGGACTGGCAAGGCTTTCCTCCTGGCTCTAGTATGGATGTTGACTGTATATGCAGGAAGTACTAACTACAGCTTTTTCCTCCTTGATGACATTGTAGGCGCCTGCATTTACTTACCAGGCCCCGGTTGCCTGATATGGCCAGTGGAGAAATTAAAACCAGGCCCAGGTTGGAGGGGCCACAGCAAGACGGAGGCTGTGACAATTTTATTGCAAGCAATCAGACTTATCGGAAATAGAATACAGTGGTGATTTCCAGGATCAAATACAATTGTGGTTGCCAGGATACAACGACAGCTACAAGCTATGCAGGGTATACAAGATTAATGTCTAAGATTAACATCCTTACACATTTCTATATGCTTCATTGATTTCTAAGGGAACACACAGAGAAACACAAAGCAGCCTGAATGCTTCACTGACTGAGGGAGTGCCTCAGTTTCTCAGGAACTGAAAGACACACAGCGCCCCAGGAGCTACAGACTCTAACCTGCAAAACATAGGATGCAAGGCAGTTAGGTCAAGCCAACTTCATGATTCTCTAGACTATAGCCTGAGATGGTTCTCCTACAGAGATCTTCTGCTGAGATTAGCTGACCCACCACCTCATTGGGCTGTACATAATAATCATGCTGAGTTTCCCTGATGCTGTGTGTCTCTATCCAAGTGCACAGCCAACCAATCCCAGCTTTTCTGTATGTGTGTCTCATTTCTTCATTCTCTGTCCCTCCAGTCAGATCAGTGCCCCAAACACTCAGATTGCAGCAGGGTCTCCTAGACTCCAGGCTGAAGCATTCTCTGCCTTCTCAATTGCTGTGGTTACAGGCTCATGCCTCTGTACCTAGCAGAATTTTGGGCAGAGAGGAATTGCAGACTTAATATGCAGCACCAGTAAAGCCAAGCACCCAGAAAACCTTGCAGAGACAGAAAGAGAACAGTCTTAATCTACAACAAGCAGCTCAGTTCTGAGTATCTGCAGGAAGCCTTGAGTGAGTGACGTCCTGGGTGCATGTGTGTAGTTGATATGAGCACAGCCGTGTCAAGAACCTTAGCCTCAGATCCATGGGAAAATGGCAAAGTCTTCCCCCTGGGAGGAAGCTCAGGGGGATGGCAAAACCTTCTGTGTGCAGATGTTGACAGTGTGCAGAAAATATCTGCTATAGCTTTCTCTTCCGTGATGCTCCCCCATAGCTGCTCCTAACCGAGATGAGCTAAACCTGCCTCTTTGTTTGGCTATATATGATAACTCTGCTGCTCTGTTTATTTGCATGCAACAACTCCCTAGCTTCCTGTTCTTCTGCACACAGCAACCCTGCCCCTCTGTTTAACTGTATAGTAAACACACTGAGCTTCAGAGCGCCCCGTCCACCTGATCCCGCTTTT